GCCATCTTTTCATATGAGGGTGCACATTAGGAGATGGGAGACACTTGCATTAGTGGCAGCACCCACACTTGAATCCAGACCTCCTGGTGCTGTTTCTAGCCTTCGTAGTACATGCTCTCTCTGGCTCATCATGGTCAACTGCCATCCTCCAACCATGTCACTCCCCCAACCACAAAGGAAAATGCTTCCTCCTCCTTTTCCAGAGCAGAGACCTAAAAGTGTCTCATAGGGCAGTTGTGGAATGAAATGAGTCTCCTGACTTGTGCCTCCCCAGCTGGGGCTGCCTGAGGCTGGGCAGGGGCATCCCAGTTCCCGGGCCAAAATGATGATCGCAGTGTAACTTAAAGTTAAGGACAGTGAATTTGGAGCCGGAAGAACTGGTGCCATTTATTGACTGACCTGGGGAAAGTAGCTTACCCACTTTGAGTCTTATTTTAGTGATCCAAAAAGTGGGAATAAATTAAATTTGGGAGCAAATTAAAAGCCTAGTATTTGACATATACTTTTTGTAACAATTTCTTGTCCCCTTTCTATCCTTGAAACAAAAACTGAAGTTGAAAAACATCTTGTAAGATGTTAGATAAATAATAAAGCAAAACCTTGATCAATGTTTGAATGTTTACTCTGTAATAAAAATACAAAAAGTAACGTCTGAATGTTACTAGGCACAGAGTATGCTGTTTCTATTAATTTAAATTATATTTTTTTCTTCTCATAGCAGAGCAGTGCTGTTTTTTACAGTCATACATGTATTTTTTATTTTAATTGACAAATAAAAATTGAATATATTTATGCAGTGCAATATGATGTTTTTATAAATGTGTAAAATTTGGAATGATTGAACAAGCTAATTAACGTATCTATCACCTCACTTAACATTTTTTTGTGGTGAGACATTTAAAATGTACTCTTAACAATTTTGAAATATACATTATTAATAACTATAGTCACCATGCTGTACCATAGATTTCAAGGATTTATTCTTCCTAAACGAAACTTTGTATCATTTGACCATCATGTCCCCATTTCACCCCCTAACCTCTGTTATATATGTTATATTTTCTAGAATAGAAGAAGGAACCAAAACAAATTCAATTTGCAATAGAGTAAGCTAAAGAAAGAGGGGAGTCAGAAAGACAAAGCAGGGGTGGGGCCCTGGGAAGATGGGGAGCGGGGAGGGAGAAAGGAAAAGGGAAAAGGAAAAAGGAAGAAAGTGTAAACAGAAAATAAAAAAATAGCAAATATTAACAAAACCAAATTCTGGCCCATCAGAAAAACTAAGGGGGCAAATCTCTAGCACAAATAAACAATATTGCATAAAAAGGAGGATAACCTTAAATACAGGATATTTTTAATTTTTTTATTGCATTTTAGGTTTTGGGGTACATGTGAAGAACATGCAAGATTGTTGCATAGGTACACACGTGGCAGTGTGATTTGCTGCCTTCCTCCCCCTCACCTATATCTGGCATTTCTCCCCATGCCATCCCCCACCCCCTGCTGTCCCTCCCCTATTTCCCTATTTCCCTCCAACAGACCCCATTACTGCCTTCCTCCCCCTCACCTATATCTGGCATTCCTCCCCATGCCAACTCCCCACCCCCCACCGTCCCTCCCCTAATTCCCTATTTCCCTCCAACAGACCCCAGTGTGTAGTGCTCTCCTCCCTGTGTCCATGTGTTCTCATTGTTCAACACCCGCCTATGAGCGAGAACATGCGGTGTTTGATTTTCTGCTCCTGTGTCAGTTTGCTGAGAATGATGACTTCCAGGTTCATCCATATCCCTACAAAGGACATAATCTCATCGTTTTTGATGGCTGCGTAATATTCCATGGTGTATATGTGCCACATTTTCCCTGTCCAGTCTATCATCGATGGGCATTTGGGTTGGTTCCAGGTCTTTGCTATTGTAAACTGTGCTGCAATGAACATTCGTGTGCATGTGTCCTTATAGTAGAACGATTTATAATCCTTTGGATATATACCCAGTAATGGGATTGCTGGGTCAAATGGAATTTCTATTTCTAGGTCCTTGAGGAATCGCCACTGTCTTCCACAATGGCTGAACTAATTTACACTCCCATCAACAGTGTAACAGTGTTCCTATAAAAACCGTAGAAGAAAATCTAGGCAAAACCATTCAGGACATAGGTGTAGGCAAGGACTTCATGACCAAAACACCAAAAGCATTGGTAACAAAAGCCAAAATGGACAAATGGGACCTAATCAAACTCCACAGCTTCTGCACAGCAAAAGAAACAGTCATTAGAGTGAATCAGCAACCAAGAGAATGGGAAAAAACTTTTGCAGCTTACTCATCTGACAAAGGGCTGATATCCAGAATTTACAAAGAACTAAAACAGATTTACAAGAAAAAAACAAGCCCATTCAAAAGTGGGCAAAGGATATGAACAGACACTTTACAAAAGAAGACATACATGAGGCCAACAAACATATGAAAAAATGCTCATCATCACTGGTCATTAGAGAAATGCAAATCAAAGCTACATTGAGATACCATCTCATGCCAGTTAGAATGACGATCGTTAAAAAATCTGGAAACAACAGATGCTGGAGAGGATGTGGATAAACAGGATATTTTTTTCTTCAACTTTTATTTTAAGTTCAGAGGTACGTGTGCAGCTGTTATTGTCAGTGCCTAGATGTTGATGCTGAGACTCGAGGTCTTATACAAGGACTTGCATAAGGTCACACAAATAGAAGTACCTGAGTCTGAGTTTGGAACCAACTCTGTCTTCAGGGCTGATTTTCTTAGCCACTGTGTATGTTTGTGGGATTCCAGACTTACCTTTGTGCCAGGTGAGCTTAGGTTGATTATTGAGCTTCTAGCATCTTAGGGGCTAAGATTCTCTCTGTTATCAGGAGGCTAACACTTCTGATCAGTGTTGCCTGGAACATGTCTCCCAAACACCTGAAAACCTCCATATATTTTGTAATGGGAGCAGGTGGTCCATTGTTGGTGGTTTATGTCTTTATTTTCTATTAGTTGTGGCTAAATGACGTATGTAAGTACATACAAATAGTTACCTGATTCCCAGAATTTCTGCTAAAATGTCACCTTTTCAATAAATCTTTTTGATGGTCTTAATATCCTTCCCCTTCCTTTGATATTTTTAAGCATTTTTTTCTATAGAACTTATTAACTTCTATCATGGTAGAAGAATATATTTCTTCTGTTTTGAACATATATATGCCGGGCTCCACTAGAATGACCACCCCACGAAGGCAGGAACCTTTGTTTTGTTTAATGCAATAAACAGATGAATACAGACTCTTTTTTCCTTTGGCTGGGCTGATTTGAATGAACTCCTCTTAAGAACATGGTGAATCATTGTTCTGGGAGAAGATGGGGATAAGATTTGGCCTTAAGTAGAGGAAAACAACCTAAATATTGACTCTCAAGAACTCAGTGGGGGGAAAAAAACTCCCACCAGATGCTAAACATTATTCCATCATTAGATCAGCGTTTGCCAAACATTGATCAAGGTTTTGCTTTATTATTTACCTAATGTCCTATGAGATCTTTTTCAAATTCACTTTTTGTTTCAAGGACAGAAAGAGGACAAGAAGAATCACCACTGAAGTCCACATTCACTATGTTCATTGCTCTAAATTATCAGTCTTTAAAGGCACAGTGATAGTATTTTTCCAATACCTGGCAAGAACCCCATCTGTATTAGAATTCAAAACTCAGTGTGATGGCTTTGTCTGTTAATGAGTTTTTCAGGCTAATTCTGGAATAGCTTGATTCATGTATCTCACTGATTGATGATGATGTGGCATTAAAAAAATTAGGACAGATCCTTTGGAATAAGAGGAGAACTTGGAAGCCAGGCTGTGCTGCTTGGCAGGAACAGAGAGGAAGAGGCAGCTTGGCAGGCAATTGGCTACAGAGGTCCGAACAGTGCTTGTTCTTTATGGCTCACTGTCTAGCATACAAATCCATTGTGCACATATGCACATTGGAAACAACCCTAAAAAAGGTGGAGTTGATGCTGGAACTCCAGGTGGCTGTGGACTTGGAGATGAAATGATTCTAGAATGTATGTGAACCAAAGACCATGCCACTCATATTATCTCAGAATTTAGAAAAAAATAATTCTTCAGTGTGTGTCAGACCATGTGCAACATACTATGAAAATTATGTCCTACACAATAATATTATGACTTTGGCAGTGTAATCCTCATTTAACCAAGAAGGAGGCTGAGGTTCAGAAAGGTTAATTAACTTGCTCAAGGGCTGAAGGTATTCAAACCTCCACCTTATTTCAAAGCCCATGTCTTTTATACTATACCACTAGGGGTTTTCCAACAAAGTGCTTTCTTCCTCCATATGAGGCTGATTAAGGTTTCCAATTTGGGACCTGTCAGTTTTGGAAGTGCCTAAGGAACTGAGGTCTAACCTAGGAATCTTTGCCTGTTTACTAATTGTGAAATCTGGGTCACTTCACTTCTTTGACCCTCAAATTCTTCTGTAAAAAATGGGGTTAACAATATGTTTCTGAAGGAACAGAAAACCAAACACTGCATGTTCTCACTTATAAGTGGGAGTTGAACAATGAGAACACATGGACACAGAGGGGGGAAAAACAAATGCTGGGGCCTGTTGGGGGACAGCAGGAGGTGGGAAGAGGATTAGGAAAAAGAGCTAATGCATGCTGGACTTAATACTTAGGTGATGGGTTGATAGGCGCAGCAAACCACCATAACACACATTTACATACGTAACAAACTTGAACATCCTGTACGTGTACCCCAGAACTTAAAAATAAAACAAAGAAAATGAAAAACAATATGTGCTTCCAAGGATTTCTGAAGGATCAAGTAAAATACAGTTTGTGAAAATATAAAGTGCTTTACAGATCTAAAAAATTATTATCATTACTGAGCAATGATCAAGTCAAGCTATTACCACCTTAATGTATCCTCAATGAGACTTTATTATTATTTTTTAATTTCAGTGGATAACGTTGGCTTCATGGCAGAGAATGGCACCATGGTGACAGAATTTGTTCTGATGGGGTTCCGTTTGCAGGCAGAGCTACAGATAGGTCTCTTCTTTGTGTTTCTGGCCGTTTTTCTCATCACCATGGGGGGCAACCTGGGCATGATTGTGCTAATTCAGAGTGACCTTCGGCTCCAGACTCCCATGTACTTCTTCCTCAGTCACCTTTCCTTCCTGGACATTTGCTACTCTTTTGTTATTGTTCCTCACTTGCTTGAGACTTTGGGGACTGATAAGATGATCATCACCTATGAGTGCTGCACCAGCCAATTCTTCTTTTTCACCCTCTGTGCTAGCACTGAGTGTTTTCTTTTGGCTGTGATGGCCTATGACCGCTACATGGCTGTGTGTAAGCCCCTCCTCTATGCCACAGCCATGACACCACAGACCTGCCTGGGGCTGGTGGCTGGGGCTTATGCTGGTGCCATGGTCAGTTCTGTGATCCGCACTGGGTGTACCTTCTCTATCTCTTTCTGTAAGTCCAATCATGTAGACTTCTTTTTCTGTGACCTCCCACCCCTGCTGAAGCTTGCCTGTAGGGAAACCAGGGAGTGGGTAATCTACCTCTTAGCTTTTGTGGTCAGCACAACCAGCATTTCAGTGATTCTTATATCCTACTTACTCATCATTCAGGTCGTTCTGAGGATTCATACAGCAGGTGACAAAGCCAAGACCTTCTCCACCTGTGCTTCTCACATGACTGCAGTGGCTCTCTTCTTTGGGACACTCATTTTCATATACCTGAAAGGCAACATGGGCAAATCCCTTGAGGAAGACAAGGTTGTGTCAATATTTTACACTGTGGTGATGCCCATGCTAAATCCAGTGATCTATAGCCTGAGAAACAAAGAAGTAAAGGAGGCTCTGAAGAAAGTTTTCAACAGGATGAGGGTTTCCCAAGCAGATTAACTCTTTATCTCCATCAATCCAGAAGTTTCTGCAAATCCTACTCTGGGCTTTTGCCTCATCCCCTTAACACATGAACCAGATCTCATAATTACAAAGACATATTGAGGGAGAAAGAGGTAGATTTGGGTTCCAGTATCTTCTTTATTGGCTCCATGATCTTGAGCCAGAAATGCTCCATTTCAGTTTTCTCAACAGTAAAAATTTCTGCCTTGCTATGGATAAAGGTCAAGAGATCTTCAGCCAGGATCAAGAGAGAGGGAATGCCAATAAGCTATGTAAATAATAGCATGCTATAAAATATAGATTTTTTGTTCTTATCTGTCCTGGGTATTGAGAAGTATTTTCTCAGCTATTTGAATTTTTTTCTATTAAGCTTGTTTTTGTGCCTAGCATGATTACAAAACAGTAGCTCATTGTTTACACAGTATAGGGAAGTCATATTTTTAGTTGTGGATCATAGTGTGGATATCAGCCTTGATGAAAGAAAACTTTTTTAAAATATTCAGTCATACCCAATTTGGGATTTGTCATGGAAAATAAAAGCAGCTAAACAGAAGAAGAAAAAATAAAGAAGGGAAAGGAGGTGTGTTAGCCTGCTTCCCAAGATGGCATAGAGGATTCAGACACTGTGGGAAAAAAAGAAGGATGTAATGATTTGCATTAATTATTGGAAACAATTTGGTCTTGATGCAGGGCTGAAGTGAGTTGCATATATAACTTTGTAATATTTCTTGATCACCAAAGGTCAGCAGCTCTATTTTATTTCTGAAGCATTGTTCGTGGACCATCTGCTTCAATTAACTCAAGTTATTTCCTATTCTCCAGTAATGAAAACCATTATCTACTTTCATCTCCTCTAGGACATTTACTATATTGTCAGAAGATATATAACAATGAATCTGACTGCCATTTTTTAATGACCTCCTCATCTGCTAGAAATATTACCTGGGAAACATCTCCATGGAGACCCCACAGTTTTATTCATCAATTCAGCAAATATATACTATCTGCTGTGTATCAAATATTAAGTTTATAATCTAGTAATAAATAAGATAGATATGGTTCCTTTGGCACAGAGATTAGAACTTAGGACACAGGCAGATATTCAACTATTGCAGTTAATTAATTAATTATTATTTGTTACAATATTGCAAAGTGAAACAAAAGAAGAAGCATGGGGTATTGTATACTGTATAATAAGGTTCCAACCTAGTTTGGTGTGGTCAGAAAAGGCTTCCGAGACGAATTAACATTGAAGCAGAGGCTTCAAGAATAAGTATGCCATAGTCATGGGTTGTGAAGACTTTTCTAGACAGAAAGAGTTGCAAATGCAAAGGTCTGTGAAAAGGGATGCCTTGAGGAACTGCAGTTGGCTGTAGCATGAGGGAGCGGGGCTTAGTGTGAGATGCAACTGGTGAATTCCAGAGAAACTGGGTCACAGAGCCTTGCAGATTTGCTTAGGGACTTGTGGACTTTATTTCAAAAGTAGAATGTGACATGGTCAGATATGAATTTTTAAAAGATTTCTTTGGCTGCAGTGCGATGGGTGGAAAGGAGGCTGGTGGTGGCAGAGACAGAGGGAAATAGAACCACTTTGTCTGTTAAATAACACTTGGTGCATCCCAGTGCATGGCGTTTGATTTCCATGCTATAGTGGAAATTCATTCTAGGATGCACGTTATGTTAGAGAACGCTAGCAGGTGCATGACTTTGATGTTGGTTTAGGACTGATTCTTGGCAAAGTGGCAAAATTAGGGAAATATGTTTTTGGTGATGCCAACCTTTTCATTGGTGCACTTTTCCTTCCGTAAAGTGTGACCTTTCTCAGGAAGACACAGGTATACATTAACTGTCCCTTCATCCAAATGATCATCAACTACTCCTTCTTAAGGGGTCAGCATGTTTTCATTAACCACCTACTCGATGCCAGACTGAGTTAATGAGCTTAAGAAACCATCCCTTACAGGGCTTCTTCTGTGTTTAAAGGCAGGGAAAGCCTTCAAACGTAAAAACAAAGAAATAGGCAAAATGCTAGACAGTGGGTTCGCTGTTTTGATAGTGGCAGGAACAACCTCATACCCCTACCAATTTCTGCTTTGTGGGTGGCAACCAATTCTGCCTATAAATGAGTGATCTTTGATACATCTGCAGTATTTTATATTTATACAATTGCCTCATGTATGCACCAAGTGGATAAAAATAAAATGAAGTTTTAGTGTGTTTTAGGGAAATTATCTTCTGATTAATGTAAAAACCACTGGAGATTGGCGTATGTAGTATTGCTAATTACACATATTAATAAATGCATAAAAACATTCATAAATCACCTAATTTGTGTCAGATTCTGTGCTGACTTTTCACTTATCTCATTTAAAGATTTCATTCTTAAAATAAAAAAAAGTCTCATCCTTAAAATAGATTCTACACATACTGTTTTAGAAATAGAATTCAGTCAGGAATTCCGGTGTTGTTTTCTTTCTTACCCTCTTGCTTCTAAGAGTATTTCTTTTGGGAACTAGGCTTTGGAATTATACATTTTTAGCTATAATACTTTGGCCTTAATTTACCAACAGTGATATTGGAAAGATGAAAAAAAGCAGGCCTTCAAACTCTGAACTGACCTATTAAAATTAATTCACCAAGAGGTCAAAGTACTATGTTCTTGATCACTTAGAGTGACACCAAAACTTTAATTATGGATTTGTATTTTTCACATGCGTTAAGTTGATTGAGTGTAGGGATAAAGCCAAATCAACTAGATTATCAGCATAAGGGCACAGGACTAGGATAGAATGATGGAGCATAAACCATACAATACATAATCTAGGGCCTTTGGCAGAAGCATGTATGTATGTATTTACTTTTTGTGTATGGGAATGCATTTTGTCTGGGGGAGCCACAGTGCTTCAGATAAGAGCAAAACAACCACACACAATTTTTCTTTTGTCATGAAGATCAATTCCAGACAGATAGAAATACTTATCAGATTTTTTTCCTCTTTGCTCCAGTTCTATTTGTCTAAGCTACAGGGGAGGGAAAATGCCATCAAAGGCATGTGCAAATGACCACAAGAACAGAGCTGCTCAAGTCCCAGTGCCACCGTCCCCATAGATCTTCCGTGCCTTTTTGGTAGCTATGGGCTAAAGGGCAAAAAAGAAACAAAGCATTTTGGTTTGAAGGTTTTTACTGGTGATGAGTTCAAAGAAGGTTAGGCAGCTCTGGTTTTTGAATCTCATTTTGCCTGATGCTGAATGCAAACCTCAAACTAAATTTTCTTCTGAATCTTACTTAGAGAATGTGGGGAGGATAAATCACCCGAGAAATTGGGGAGAGCTGACAGAAGTTGAAAGGAAAGTAGGCTGTCTGCTTCCCTGTAGTGAATCCTGAAGTTGCTTGTGGAGATCAAGATGCTTCACAGACATTATACAATTCGTCCTTTTAGTCCTGTTGGGAAAGAAACTCTCAGCTATTTCCACTCATCTCTTCTTCAAAAATTATGAGTTTTTCTGAAAATAGTTGAAAAGAACATTGTGTCTTTTTCTTTTTCTCAACATCTTTGTCCTTATTTAAAACATAATAGTGAAACACAAAAATAAAAAAATGACAGCAACAGCAGCAAAAAAAAGTGCTGTTGATCTTGTAATGGAATGAATATCTACACTGTTTCTAATTCTACCCTTACTAAATTTGCTTCTTTGGGGATTAAAACCCCTGAAAAAAGTATTGTAAAAATAGCCTATCGACATCTGTTGTTTTATATATAGACAGAGCCTAAAATATTTTATTCATTAATTAAATAAATTAGCTCTTTATTGAGGAGCTAGTATATGCTGGGCACTCTGTGTGGGCAGGGACATCGCTCCTCACTGTATTCCTATTGTGTACCTTAAAGTTGGCATACAGATGGCACTTAACTAACTTAACAAAAATTCCCTTTAATTGTTTAAAAGTTTTTTTGGTACACATAATATTGAAACTTAAGTGGTTAAAATAAATTTACTATTTTAACCATGTAAGTACATAATATAGTGGCATTAAGTACATTCATATCATCTTACAACCATCACTATGATCCCTCTCCAGAACTTTTTCATCATCCCAAACTGAAACTCTGTACCCATTGAATCACTCCCCATTTCCCTGTCCCCCTACCCCTGGCGATCTCCATTCTAGTTCTGTTTCTATGGATTTGCTTCTTCTAAGTACTTTGTAAAAGTGGGATCATATAATATTTATCTTTCTGTGTCTAGGCTTCTTTCATTTAGCATAATGTTCCCAAGATTCATGCATTTTATAGCATGTATTGGAACTCCATTGCTTTTTATAGATCAATAATAGTCTATTGCATGGATATACCACATTTTATCCATTTATCTCTTTGTGGACACTTGCGTGGTTTCTACCTTTTGGCCATTGTGAATAATGTTGCTATAAACGTGGGTGAACAAAGATTTGTCTAAGCCCCTGTTTTCCACTCTTTTGCATAGTACATACTACTTAAAAGTGGAATTGTTGGCTCATATGGTAAATCTCTGCTTAACTTTTTGAGGAACCACCTACTGTTTTTCACAGCAGCTGCACCATTTTACATTCCTACTGGCAATATATAAGGGTTCTAAGATTTTCACATGCTCAACACTTATTTTCCATTTTTTTTGGTAATAGCTATTCTAATGGGTATGAAGTGGCATTTCACTGTGGTTTTGAATTGCATTACCTAATGACTAGTGACGTTGAACATCTTTTCATCTTCTTATTGTCTTATTTGCAATTTATATATCTTCTTGGAGAACTATCTATTCAAGTTCTTTACTCGTATTTAAATTGGGTTGTTTGGGCCAGGTGTGACAGCTCACTGCTATAATCCCAGTGTTTGGGGAGAACCCCTGGTCTCAAGCTATCCTCCTACCTTGGCCTCCCCAACCACTGGGCAACATGGTGAGATCCTGCCTCTACAAAAAATAAAAATAAATAGAGTTGTTTGTTTTTTAATTGTTGAG